GTATCATCTAAATATGTTACAACAACAGATAATGTATAAAAAGTAAGAGGTATTTTTTATTTAACAACCTCTTATACTGTCCTTAGTGGAATTTATTATCAATTACTTAAAAAGATTCTCAGGTACACCTATAAGAGAGTAGCAATATATTAATAAAACTGTGAATACGTTTTGAGTCCTGTTTAACATTTTTTAATAAATTACTACTCAAAACACTTGATTTGTAACTTCAAAAGTTTTTAATGTAAAGTATATTTTCTTTTTGAAAAAGAATCGATGTTAGCAAAATTTTTCCGTTATTTTATTTAAAGACTGAAAATTATTACAAATAAGGAAGCTTTAAAAAAAAAAAAGAAAACTCATTGATTACTCCATACAAAAAAAATTTATTTTTTAAAATACATAATTAAAATTATACATTAATTTGAAGGTATTATATTATTATTTTACTGGCAATTAGGCCCTGATAATGACCAGGAAAGATAATCATGGCTGCTGCATAACAAATGTATATGAATACTTTTCTTGAATTGAGTTAAATATTTGCTTTATATAAAGAATAAAGTAATTTGTTATAAATATGTCAGCAGCTGGAATTCCTGCTGAGGTTGATGCCGATCAAATTAAATCAGTGAGTTATTACTTTCATTTATAATATCGATTTTCTCATAACTATTCACATTTAGGCTAGAATGATAAAGTACAATGTGATTTTGTAATGCGGCATGATTATGATTATTTTTCGCAACTATTTGGAATTTTTATTAACAATTATTAAATAAAATGTATTATTAATTAATTTATTAAGGGTAATATTACTTTTCAGTTTAGAGATTTTCTTACATCTTATAATAAACTATCCGAGTTGTGTTTTGTTGATTGTGTTTGGGACTTTACGACGAGATCAGTAAAATCTCAAGAAGAAAGATGTGCATTGAATTGTATGGAAAAATATTTAAAAATGAACCAAAGAATATCTAGAAGATTTCAAGAATTTCAAGTGACTGCTAATGAAAACGCGTTAGCCGAAGCAAAAAAAACAGGAATTCAACGATGATTTTGAAATTGTGATTGTAGTATAAAAGTAACTAAAAAAAAAAAAAAAATTTATTTAATTGTTGAAATAATAGTTTTTAATAAATATTTTTTTTATTTAAGCTATTAATCAATTCTGAATTTATTGTGTAAATATTTTAGTATAAAACATGTACATTTCATTTTTTAAAGAAAATTTTACTAAATTGAAAACTTAATACAATTGTTAAATAATGTGTTGTATTGACGATTAGTTGTTGTAATATGTAACAAATGAAAAAAACATGAAAATATCAGTAGTAATAAGAAACAATTAGCCTGACAAGCTTATATCGGCATACAAACTTTTTAATCAGTCACAACAAGTATTATGTTTATCGTTATCGATTTTTGAATGTAATATGACATTTTCATTTTCCTGTTGATATTCTTTTAATTTATGTTTCATAGCATTGGTTATTATAAATTTCATGGCATCATCTGCATAGTAAAATCATGTGAAATTTTAGATATTTTAAATGCACTAAAAATGTTTTATAATTATTTAAAATTTACATCATTCGTACCTATGTTTATGTTACATTTAGCACTAGTTTTAAACCATTTAAGTACACCATATTGCTTGCTTAATTTATTTAATGCATCTAGAGGAACAGATATTTCATTTATATCACATTTATTAACTAGAATAATAATAGGAACAGGTAGCCCATCAGATAAAATCACTTTATCTCTGATATCCTTTAACCACTGAAACATACGATAACAAAACTAATCGTTGACAAGGAAATTAAAATATGTATTAAAGTTTCAAATGATTTTAATTTTCTTTTAACTGTTTAAAAATTTCAAAAATTTAAAATTTACTGTTTAACTTACATTTTGTAGCGAATGAAAAGTTGCTATTCTTGATATATCTATAACTATAACAGCAGCAGCCCTAATTTTGAAAAAGTTTTAAATACAAGAGTAATTATCAGAAAATATGAACGAATGTAAAATATTGTAAAATGAAATGTATATTTCTTACGCATACTTATAGTAGACTCTTGACATAAATGTTAATTTTTCATTACCAGCTATATCCCTGAAAAATTTTAAATAATTTGTGAGAAAAAAAAAGCAGGGTGAATTTATTAAAATATGTAAAATTAACTTTGATAAAATTATTAATACCATAATTGTATATTAACCTCCGTTGTACTATCCCAAGGCATGGTTTTTATTGAAAAATCAGCCCCGATTGTAACTTTGTAATTAGATGTGAATTTGCCTGAATAAAATAAAATAAATTTAGTGAGGTACTCGAGTATTTATATACTCGTATATGTATACACATTTACCTTCAACATATCTTCTTATTACGGCAGTTTTTCCTGTTAACAATTTTTGAATAAGAATATTTTCATGTACAAAACTTTAAATATAGTTATTTAATTCTTCGTTAGAGATTTATAACATTACAATTTCAAGCATCTCATTTTATTCTCATTTTGATAACTTAAAAAAAATTCATTAGTATTGTATTTAGACATTTGTCAAAAATTAATTATACCTACTCCATAATCTCCAACTACTAAAATTTTTAACATAATTTCTTTTAAAACAAAATTAGATTTTTTTAGTCTAGCCTTTTCTACATTTATTGATTTTTTTGAGTCGTCCATTGTTCTATATGACTTTTATGTAAATTTAAAAATTACAATTTGTATATTTTACAGAAATTTGTTAAGAATTTAGTTTCAGCCAAAATTTAAAACGGTAGTGCGATTGGGAAAAAGGTGATAAGATTTTATCAAATATGTTATAATTCAAATGTAGGGCCCAAAAAAATTTTACCGGTAAAATGTAGATAAGGAAAAATTATAATTAAATGTTGGTATGACTGCGTGTTTAAAATTTTACATTTCTACTGGAAGAAAAAAAAAAATGTATAATGAAATACTGTTGAAAATTTAAAAAAAAAAATTTAGTTTTAGTTTCAGTGCTGTAATCATGCGTTTTGTTAAAAATTAAAAAAATTATTATTATTTTTTTTTTCGGGAAAATTTGTTTTCAGTGAAAATACACATTGTTAAAAATAAATTATTAACCAGATCAAAATGAGTAAAATTTTATTAAGCGATCTTAAAGCTTATTGCAGGTCAATGGAATTAATTTTTAAAGAATCATTTAAATATCATCAAACTTCACTAGAAAAATTTTGGGAAAATTCATCGATAAATGTCGCAATAGAGGAGAATATCAAGAGTCATTTTAATAATTTAAAAAATGTTTCAACTAATGACTTAGCTCTTGCTGTAAAAGAGTCGTATGAAAGAGCATCCATGGTGCCACAAAGTTTAAAAGTTTATGCAATGACTTCTAGTGAGAATACTAACTGTTGAACATTATTTTATTTGTGTTTTATTTTTATACATGCTGTAATGTATTTTTAGCTAAAAGTCAAGGAGATGTTGATTATGAAAAAAAAAATGATGCAAATGATGAAGAGGTGTTACCTAAAGGTGTTTCTCCAGAAGATTTAAAAGCTTCAGAATTGCATTACAAAGATAGGGAATTAATTGAAAAACTTGAAAAAGAACATGAACAAAAACTTAAAAAACAAGCAGAAATGGAGCAAAATATTAAACAATTACATCAGTCATCAATTAAAAGTGAAAGTCTTGTTAATAATTTAGATGATAATGTTAGTAATACAAAGACAGATGTAGTTTTGGAAAAAAATATTCCATTACCGTCCACCAAAAAATATAAACCCAAGCAGCAGGTAATCTTTTTTAATATACCATATAGATGTTTGAAATTTTTTTTAAAATCGGCTTGGTTACATTTTTTGTTTTTTCACAGCTTAATCCAGAAGCCAAACAAAGAAAAGTTCCCTCGACAAGATTGGGTAGAATGATTTCTTTTGGAAGTTTAGCTGCTGGGTTAGGAATAGGAGCTTTAGCCGAAGTCACTAGGAGAACAATAGGTTAACTTTTAAAATTGTAGATTCCATTAATTATTTTTATAAATTATCCATAAGTCAATTTAATTTATCTTGTTCTTATGCTGTAAATTTAAA